CTGGTAGATGATGACAAAGTTTTTTGTTTCATTCATAGATAATCAATTTCTTACATTTGGAACCAAAGGAACAGCTACTAACAGTTCTCTTCATGACTAGAAGCATTTGAAGAAGAACCTGCTGATCAAATCGATTTGTCCTGTTTCTCGGGTAATCTTCGACGTGATGACCGTGATAATAGTCGTGACTGCTGGAGATTATCTGATGGGAACAACTTTAGAGTCCGTAGCAAGCATTTTTGTTATGACAAGTCAAAGGTTCCTCGTACTTCTGTTAGCTTTCGATGTTTTTTGGAGCAATTTGTTGCACTTAATCTAATAATTTCATTATTGGAATATCTATTTGAAGATCCCTGCAGGAAAGCATCTCATGGATCTTGTTGCTGTTGATTGGTTCAAAGACACAAAGCGAATGGACCATGTTGCTAGGCGCCGTGGTTGTGCGGCTCAAGTAAGTACAGTAAGCTATAGCTTCATTTCTTTTCCTTTTTTGTTCTTTTCCGTTAGCAGTCCATCAAAGCTTAATCAGTCTCTTTAAGACTTAGACGTGTCTATGAACCTTCAAAAAAATCCATGGTCTGATAAGTTGATGGTGTTGGATGAACATTGCTATTGGTCGATGCATACCTTCCCTCATTCTGTGAGATGATGCCTAATTGTACTTCATTTGTCAAACATCTGGACAATGAAAGGAATTTTTGTGAGCACCAACCTTCAAACCCTATCAGTTGCACCTGGAGACATGCATGTGCGCGTCATGGTAGGACCTTTGTGTTTGGTTGGATATTAATGGGTAGCTTCTAGATTTGGACGTAATGAATTGCAATGTTACCATGGTACAATTTTGCCTTCTGTTTCAGTCGCAACTGACAAAATGTTCCTTTTTGGTTCTATGCAAAACACAACAAAAGGATATTCTGAAGGAGTAACTTTTGTCCGAAACTTTCTGAAAAAATATTCATCTGAAACTCAGAAAGTTTTGTACATTTCAAATGAAATCTGCTAACACATGTCCTTGCATGTTGGTGGAAAAGTTTCAGATGACCATTCAGCAAACCATACTTCTTGTAGGGCCCATCAACAGTACTTTTTTTTTTTTGGGCATTTCTTGGTCCTTGTTTATAGTAAATATAAGATGCTTCGGACTGAAAGAACTAACAACTTTTTTTTTTTTACTCTCTTTTTCATGAATTTAGCAAATCAGCAATCATTGTTATATATTTGGTTTCAGGAAAGAGGTTACATGCACTATTCCATCTTATAAGTATGATGTCAGCAAGTTAAGATGCAACTGTAGCAATATGAGTTCATCTCAATTCCAGGAATTACAAATTGACAATTGTCTTATGTAATGGTAGTCTTTTATTTGATGAAAACGGCAAAGGTAATTGACTGCAATGTTTTTTCGGCCATTGGGTGGGGGCAACTGGAGGAAGATAGCACGTGGCAAAGGGCAGAGCTTCCAGTGACTTGTTAGGGCTGTCAAAGAGCAAAGAAGAAAGTCACTCGAAGCTCCTCTGTTGTGACCTAGCTGAGCGGTCCTCGCCAGCACAAGCAAGCAGATTTTAGCTCCCTCACTCTCTTATTGTGCCGGCAGGCCTGGGCGAGCGAGGTAGGGTTAAATTAAAGGGAGAGGGACGGCGAACATCTGTCCCATGAACCGCCAGGGAAGCATATTAAAAGCTGAACACTACAATAAATCAAAAACCAACAGGTTATGTAGTTGTTCCTGGAGTACGTCATGGTTCACAGTATCGGCTCATATCGATACCACTTAGCTGAGTTGCATCCACTCGGCACCTTCCGATCCAGGTTTCATGTAAATTATGAGTCTCATATGGTTGGCTCGAGTCATTCAAGACATATTCAATTCAGCCTAATCTTCTCCGTCATCATCACCAAATCGGTTGATACCGTTCTATGACGTCACAATATAGCCCGACTCTTTGTTAAACTTCTTCTTTTATGTATCATCTTCGTGTTTGTCACCCAATAACGTTCCACGACACCGCGACCTTAAATTATGGACTACAGAAACAATTTCATGAGAATGATTACAAGAAACAATCCAATAACCAGTGGTTTGCATTGATTTCTGCCTGGCGTTAATTTTCATCCATATTCTCGTGAATCTAGTTTCCATTTCGATTGATGGAAGAAACAGGTGATGTAAGATGATGTTACTGTTCTATTTGAATTCTGAACATTTGATGATTTGACTGGAATCTGCTTCGAGAAAAGGCCTAGTTAGGCAGGGTTTTCTTTTGTCGTTCTTCTGACCGTAAAAAGATTAAAGCAATATATTGCATACATAATTAAGGTGGAATGCATAGGTCACATTTGAGAGCAATAGTATCGGTAACTGATGATCTAATATGGAAATATGATTGTTAAGAAAATAAAAGAAAACTCGAGTAAAGATAAAAGCAAATTGTTCCGATGTTTTCAAATCGTTTCTACGAGTTTATAATGTGTCGATCATGTTTGCGAAATGTTTCTTTCTTTTTGACACAAAAACATGTGCCTAAATGAAACTTGGAACCTTGGATGTTATTCTGCAAGGTTTTACCACCCAAGTTTTCATACCTACTTGGTTTTTTTGGTTTAGTCTCTGCTGTTTGGTTATTTTTTATTTGATTCAAATTCTATAGCTTTTGAAAAGGCTGATCGGTTCTATGGAATCTGCTCCTGGTCAATTGTGTATCAACCAGTTATCTTCCTGATTAATTGCATGTTTTCAATAAGTATTGCCTCTCCATCCCATTTGTGGTAATGGATTAGACATTTATTGGCAGGGTTTAATTTGTTCCACTTAGTGTTGTTGATTGTTGAGATCAAACGGTTCCTTCAAATATTTTCTGAATTGTAAATACACATCGAGTCTTTTCATGTGAGTAACTTGTCAGTGCTTTATTATGTTGTGATTTTTTTGAGCCGCCTTTATAATTTTTGTATAGATTGCTTCAGAAAAAGGACTTTTCTCCGTGGTGATAAATGTGCAAGTAAGTTGTTTCTGTTGCTGATTTTAATTCTGAACTCGATGCATGTGGAGACTACAAGAGAAATAATTATGTATTTTCAAAGGTACCTGCATCGACACACTACAGCATGGTTTTCTATTTTGTGACAACGGAATTAGCACCTGGTTCTCTGTTGCAACGGTTTGTCGATGGGGATGATGAGTTTCGTAATAGTAGGCTGAAGCTCATTCCATCAGTTCCCAAGGTATCAGTCTCATTTCTTTTTTCCTAATTTGTGGGAAAATGCTCAGTTTTTTTTTTTTTTGTCCCCTCAGGCCTTGGAGTTGGAAGTACTTGCCACTTCCAAGTTGCATTAGTGTGGTTCAGTACTCATTGTTGATGAAGTTTATGCTATCACCTTTCTTTCATAGCTTTAATGCGCATTCAAACACAGCACACTTTATGTTAGAATTTAGGTTCTTCTCTTCAAATGATGTTGAACTATGTTAGAACCGAGGAGTTCTTAGCAGGAACTTGAGATTTTTACCGTCAACGTCTACCATCTAAAATATGAAGCCATTTTATATGAAGCTACCATGACAGGCAATAAATTGACCTAGTACTTTTTTTGTCACACATCTTAATATATGGGACAGATATTCGGGATCCATTTTCTTTTGTTTTTTGGTTTCTATAAAATTATTGATTTTGTTAAAAAGGAGGTGATTTTTGCAGTCATTGTTGCGACTGTTGACCTTGTAAAGAGGTTCTGTAATATTAACTTTCATTTTTCACTCATGGAAATGTTAGTTTTGGATGTATAAGACTTATCAGATCGAGTTTGTAGCGTCTTTAATTATCTTGGGCGCTGATCATATTTACTAGCAGCAGCAAATACAAATAATTTTAGTACCTCTTGTTAGGCTTCGAAAATTTTGTATCATCTCCAAGGATGAAAAATTGTGCTTCTGCTTTTAAATAGGAAACCCCCTTTTTCCTCCCCTGGTTCATATGATCATATTAGTTCTACTCTCTGTTTTCCACACACTTCACTTCCTTTGACTCTATAATCTTGTGCATTGCTTTTGACTTTCCACTCATCTTGTAGGGCTCATGGATTGTGCGCCAGAGTGTCGGAAGCACCCCTTGTTTATTGGGAAAAGCTGTTGATTGCAACTATATCCGTGGTGCGAAGTACCTAGAAGTAAAACCCTCAACTCTTGTCAAAGCGGATACACATGCACACAAAAACACACACGCACACAGAGACTTGAAGCAGCCATATGGATGTGTTACCGAACAATCTAATTTGAGTTGATGGCGCTCATTCTCTTTGCAGATTGATGTTGACATTGGTTCTTCTACCGTGGCTAATGGAGTTTTGGGGCTTGTAATTGGTGTAATTACTTCTCTAGTAGTTGACATGGCATTTCTTGTACAGGTATGTTGTAACTTATTGTGCTATGTCCATCTGATAAAGCTGTTTGTCTAGTCTACCTTTTGTCCTTTTAGGTAGACCTCTTCGTTGACCTCTTGTATTTTTAAGTATTATTACACCTGGCGGAGTATTTAACCATCTCAAAACGAAAAAACCATTTAATCTGCCAAGGGTATTGAATTTTATTGTGGACAATCTCGCAGTCTTTTAACGAGCTGTCCCCTTCATTATTCTCTTACTGCCAACTAGTGTTGTGCATCAGACTAGCGTCTTATCCCAAAATTTTGATTATATTTGAGAATTCTGCCCGTCTAATTTTCTTAAGACTTTGTCAAATACTGGAGTGTGATTTTCTTATATTTATTTTGCTAATCAATCATGTTGGGTCTTTGACTTCGGTTTTCCTCATTGACACCCATCAAGTGCTGGCTACCCTTCCAAGTTTGAGTTTTCTTGGTTAAGGTATTAGATGGAGAATTTTGAATGAACCGCTAGTATGCTTGATATATCCCATTTGTGAAAATACATAAAAAGCAATGATACACATATTCAAGGGGTTTTATCCAAGATGTTGATAGATGAGCTTTGAAGAAGTATACGGGGGGGTGTATGTGGGTGGGTTTTTTTTTTTTTTTTTGGGGGTGGGTGGAGATCAAAAAAATGCGAGACTGTGTCCCCATAGATGGCTTCCTAGTCAAAATAGAGAAGGACAGTTATCATCTGAGGAACCGAATCTGACACCAACCTTCCAGGTCCCTTTACTAGGTTGGGGAGGCATCACCAGGGCCAATGATACAACCCCATTTTTTACCCATATTATACAGGACCAGAGAATCTGCATGACGTTATCTTGGGCTAAGAAATGAATTGCTTTGTGTTTTGTTTATCAGGCAAACACGACAGATGAGTTGCCGGAGCGATTAATAGGCGCCGTCCGTGTTTCTCATATAGAGCTGTCATCTGCTATAGTCCCAAAGCTGGACCCAGAGTTATTAGAGTGAGTCGCAGCATAAATTTCGTTAATCATATATACGGCTATTTGCTTACATGTGTTTGTGTTACGTTCATTCTTAGTTCTCATTCATTTTACTTGCATACTGGAAAGAAGTCGTCAATGTTTTAATCAATTTTTTTTTTGCATTAGAAAATCGTCGATGGCATTTTTTTTGTGTGTAACGTACCGGTTCGACGATTAGCAAGATGCTGTTTTCCTTCTTCTTTTAAAATACTGCATGAATGAAAATAACAGCAGACTGAAGGGGAATTATGCTCGTGTTTATGACTGAATCGGATTTGAAAAATTGGGTAGAGAAAGGTTTGAGACGTTGACGCTCAGGAGCGGAGCAACGCTTTTTTTGTAGTGGAGCCAACCTAAAACTCGGTAAAAAATACATAATTAACAATATTTTAATATGTATAATTTCATTTTTCATTCCGCAAATCAGATAGAGACGAGATCTAATTTTTAAAAATCAGTCATTTCACCTAATTTTCAAATAGGTTATTATGTGAATGGTCATATTTAAATTCAAATTCAAATAATGAAAGTTTTATTTTCTATAATAGGGGAAAAGAAGAAGATAGCAATAATAGAAATCAAAATAAATGCATCTAAAAAATAAAATAAAAAAACACAACATTTAGCAAAACCAAAACATTATTTTTGTGTCATCGCTCGTCCAATAGAACCTTTTAGGGTTTTCTTTCTTTTAAAATTGTCCACCTTATTGAGAGGAGATAATTTTATCTCTCCTTTTTTGAAAAAAAATAATTTTATTTCTATTTTTTAAACGAAATAATTTTTTCTCTCTAGTTTCAAAACATATTAGTGGGGACACATGGGCCCACAACCTGCAAGTGGAGTGACAGACATGATTTTCTCACTCTTTTATGAAAGAAACCTCTACATTGTTAAATTCACAAAGTTAGAGTATTGCTGTGGGGAACTTCTGCATGGAAAGCCACATTGGCTCGGGTTTTTTTTCCTTCCAAACTTCTGAAAAGTAAGCATCCCTTGAGGATGTCTTCACCCAATCCCTTAGAGCATCTCCAACGGGCTCAGCAAAAAGGCCTTTTTAGCTATTTTGCTGAATCGGTCCAAAAAATTTGGCTCCAACTGGCTCAACAAATCCATCGCTACTCTGCCTCCTCCCCTTCTCGCTCATTAGTTGTGGCTAACACCAATCTCTCTCATCAGAGCTCTCTCCCCCAATTTTGGTTGTTCTTCATCGCCTCTCCCTTCACTGTGTTCGCCGTCATCGACCACAATAGGTGCTGTCGCAACTTCGACAACTTGAAGGTAAGTCGTTCTCTCTTCTCCTCCTATTTGCTTCTTTTTCTTTTTTGTTTCTGATTAAGACCCACCACAACCTTTGATATGATCTTGTTTCATGAGATTGAAGAAAGAATTACATACCGTATGCTTTTAATGAAAGATCAACAACCTCTTTCCTTTCATTTCCCATCTTGAACTCGGCAAGATAGTGATAATAATCCCCTTTGTTAAAATCAACGAAAATTTCAACCCAAAAACACAAAAAAAATGAAAGAACAATTAGATTTGAACAGAGATGGTGGATGCGATCAAAATATGTCGTATGAACTTCTAATTGTGAGTCGGTTTGCTGAGAAAACCAATAAAAAGTAAAGAAAATTGAGATTTTTAGTTTTTTGATTAATTATTATAGACCTAGTTTCAGGGGTGGTTAGAATACAAGAAGATATTAAGTTCAATGTCTTCCAATTTTCAAGTTTTCTGCATAAAGACTAACATAAAAACCTTAAACCTAAGCTAAATTTTTGAGAAAGTTAGTTGAATACCAAAAATTTGCTTGCTGATACAAGAAGATAACGCCTCAATTTGCTTGCTAATAAAAAGATGAAGGTAATGAATACCGAAAATCTCTTAGTAATGAATACCGAAAATTCTTGGAATTACATTCTTGGAAAATTCTTAGAATTACAAGAAAATTTTCAATAACAGAACTACATTAGTCAGGAATTACACATAACTCAGCTCACTCCTATATGGAAATGTCTTGGGCTCTTAGCCATATGATTTTTGTTGAATGCATTTGCAAAAAGCAGGAAATGCCTGGTCTTGTATAGCAGGCTGTTATAGCTAGAAATTACATTTTCAATTATTCTCATTAATAATGTTGGAATGTTGTTTTTGGGTTGATCTTGACTAGTTCATCTGGAATGCTAGAATTATTCTCATTGATCGGTTCATCTCTCTGATGCTTTGTTTGTTCAGGCTCCCAAATGCTCTTGCAGCATGATTGTTATTAGTCATCTGCTGCAACTCCATAAGCAAGCATTCTTATAGCGGCAGTTATCTTTTGAAGGGAAGACAAGTCAATATTCCTAACAACATCCTTTTTTTGGATAAAATATGGATCATAAGCTTTCACCATGGATAAAATACGAACAAAAAGAGATCGATTCATTCGAAATCTCCTTCAAAATAAATTTGGGGGATGAGTAGGCGATTCTGCAAAATAATCGCGTTAAAGTCTCTCATGTCCTTTAACTCGATTGCGAAAAATAACAGAGTTACCTTGAATAAAACCACGACGTATTACGGAGTTGTTTTCAGTATTGAGTTCTTCCGTTGCCATAGCAGCACCCGCTAACATCTCCAAGTTATCATCGGAGTCAGAATCATTAAACATCATCATCAAATTACCATAATAAGCCATAGCAAAGAAATATGAGTTCAATACTAATAAAATAAATTTGAGATGTATGACAATGAGAAGGGGGAGGTCTTATTTATACATTTTCAAAAATATGACCGTTGAAAATATGATCGTTGTAAATATGACCGTTTTAAATATGGCCGTTGTAAATATGACCATTGTAAAATTTAAAATTTGATTACGTGGCACGACACGACATCATTATGCCGCTGACGTGTTATGTCATGTGACATTTTTGAATTATATTATTGAAAGTTAGTTAAAGTTAGTTGAAATAGTTAATTAAAATAGAGAACGTGATTGAAATGAATTTTAAAAAGTGAATAGTTAAAGTAGTGAATATAATATTTAAATATATTTTGAATATCTATTTTATTGAGCGGGGTTGAAGATGTTCTTAGTAAGAGTGTGTCCTCAAATGTATGGAAAGCAACACTATTTTTTTTTTTACAGGATGCAACGAAAAAACTTCTCGGGAATCACATATCTTAGTATTATTCTACCCCAATCACTTATAAAAGTTATGTTGTATGAGAATGTCTGGCCGTCAAAGTTTTCATCCAAAGTTTGGTGTTGATTGAATCACTAGAGAGTTTCAGTTTACAAAGTGGCCCGGCCAAATGGCCCTACAATAGCCCTTGACTAAATTAAAGTCGGATTCCAATTAGGTGGATACCTACTCATTTATTTATCATATATATTACTCTATGCTTTTAAAACTCGTATGTATAATATATGGAAAAAATATATATATTATTTATAATATCTAAATTTTTAAAACTTCAAATTTTCACTTCGGGCAATTTATTTCAAAGTTTTAAATTTAATGGTCTAAAAATATAACATTTTTTTGAAGGAATGTTGGACAGGCTCTTGGGCCGAGTTTTAATGAGTTTTTACGGGCAGACTATTGAGCCGAGTAATGGATTTGAGGACAAACTCAAATCTTTTTTTTAAGGATAGGGAGCTTAAGGAGACCGGTACCTCTCTAAAAACTTAATTGGATAAAAGTATAATTTTTAAAATTATTGGGATTAGGGTTGTTCACTCTACCCTACGGGTAGGAAATATAGTATTCCGTCTTTTTACCTGATATTTTTGCAGAAGAATTTTTTCTTAGCCTACCCTACCTGATCAGGTGTGACATTCCTACCAGAATAATCGGGTAAGAAATCGGATAAATACTTTTGTAACTATTAATTTTTGAATTATTTTAACAATTTAATTAAATAACATGCATCAATTTAACAACACAATAAATTAATAACACTAAAACCTAAAACAACTACAACAACAATTACAATAAAACATAAGAAAACATGAACATCAATCTATCATAATTGTTGCACAAATACAATAACAATTATTTTAAATTTAAATCATATGAAACACATTAAAATCATAACTGCTCTAATAAATCATCAGTTCACCACAATTTAAACCATATTTTTTGCAGGTAGGGTAGGGTATGAATGGGGAAATTGATGGGTATTTTGCATTCCTACCCGATTTAATCGAAAGATAAAAAACTATTCCGTATTCCTACTCAATTTTTGCGGCTAGTAGTTCAATAGGGTATGGTAAGGTCTGATAGGGTAGAAAATTACGGTCAATCGAAAATTTGAACACTCCTAATTGAGATAGAAATACATCTATTAAAAGAATGTCATAAATGCCCTTTTATCCCTATCATAAATAATTCATATCTAATTGAATGTAAGATTTTTAAGATTAAAATGTGAGAATTTCAAGATTCTTTTTAATATTTGTGTATCATTTAAATTTTAAAATTATATATATATATATATATATAATATTTTTGAAATTTTTAATTCAAACATAAGATTTAAAGATCCTTTAAAATATTTTTTTCAAATTCATTTTATCAGACCCCTATACCCATTATCAAAGAGTCTCTTCAAGCCGAGAGAAGGCAATCTCTTTCTCTCCGTCCTATTACCTCTCGTCTCTATCGTCCTCCGTCCTTTGTCCTTCACACTTTTAGCTTGATCCCCTGTCTGACAGTAACTTGTATGGACCCGTTTAATTTTCCACCTAACATTTTTAGTTCAATTTTTTATGTGTAATATTATAATGATTAAATTTAAAATTCAAATGACATGACAGTTAATTTAAATTTTTTTATTTGGTATCATGTCATTTGGAGCTCAATAAAAACTCTAAATAGTCAGCTGTCATGTCATTTAGACTTTAAATTTAATCACAAAATTTGATCAATATAACATTAACCGAAAAGTCGAAAGTTTCGGTACCAACCCAACCATCCGGTTGACCAATAA